ACTGGCAACATTGCAGGCCTGATTGCTCCTTTATTAAGGTCCAGTTAAGATTTTGTCCTTTTAGTTACAGTGACATCTAAGTAATACTCCACTTATTGTCTGCTTAGTTGAAGAGCTCACAAGTCATGTTCTCAGCTGACTGCAAGTTGTTATCTCCAAACTGATGACTGAGTGTTTATCTGTTATTGCCCTTGTGTGGAAATAGCTGAGTTTGGTCTATCGACCCACACATTTCTGTGTGTGGCTCAAATTGTCTGCCTCAATTCGGTCTCCTACAACAAAGGCACACTGGTGAAATGCTTGCTTTCTGTTCATAACAAATATATCTCCAGTGCATTTGTAATACAGACTATGTGAGGCTTCGCAGTTGCCTGATATTCAGCAGCTTCCTCTATCTTCATTGCAATTCTTCCTGAATGACAAAATTTCACACCCGCCTCAGTTAATACCTGTTCTGATACCATTTATTGTCTATACCACAAAGCAGCTGTTTTCCATACACCATTTTAATTGTTCAAACAGGCCTATACAGCTCAACAGACACAAAATTGATTAGATAAGCCCTTAGGTTCAAAGGTCTGCAGAGACGCATGTCACCTAAGGCATCATCCACTTCTTTAAAGCCTTGCAGAATCAATTTCCAGTCAACCAGACATACCTAAATGTAAAGTTGGAGAAGGTACCAATCCATTTTTACCCCTTCATAATGTGTATCACCAGCAGAGAGGAAGGAACTACTGGGTGGTAGGAGTACAGGTGTAATAAAAGACTTTAGGTGTTGCTAGGTGAAGCCAATTTGTATTTGCTTTTATTTTGTGGAACAGCATATGGCAGCTTTTCACTAAGTCTGAGATCAATCAGATTTCTAGGCATAGAGTAATTTACATGAGCATGTCTTTAACCTGCTAATCATTAGGACAGCACATTTTTCAGCCTGTGCAGCATGCTTTGCCTTGGTGCCTAGAAAAGCTATCTCATTTTTCACTCATGAACCTGCCAAATTTCACAGCCTCCAGTGTAACCACAACCTGCAAATCATCTGTGAATCCACCTAAGGATGCTCTGCTCTGTGAGCCTGCGACTGTGCACCTTTGCCTTCTCAAATCCACGGGAGCCTATCTTCCCCATTTAATCACAATGCTTTTACTGTGAGACAGAAAGAGAGGCCCATCAGCTGCTTGTTGGCAATCATCAAGAAGCCAATGAGAGGGCAGAAACACAGAGTGAATCACATCCGAGATAAAGACAGGTTTTTCCTCTTTTCACACAGAAATATGAAGTAATAAATATTTGCTCCGAATGACAGATTAGGATCCCTTACTGGTTTTCCTCTTATTTTTTGCAGGACTACCCAGTGTCTGGAATGAGACAGACACCAGAAAGGCTCTTGTAAATGCCCCAAAGGGTTATTAATCTTTGCTCAGAGGGGAACTGGAAAAAGAACAGATGGACTTGCTGTTAGATGTGACCATGGGAATAGCTACATGAGCAAAAAAAAGAAGGAACCTGAGGGAGTTGGGAAATCTTATCAAGGAAGATATCAAGAAAAAAGGGCTTCAAAAGCAGACTGTTTGAGCTGTTATGGAGAAACAAGCCAAAGATGCAGGAAATTTTGACAAAAAGGCAGCATCGGTACAGAAGTCCTAAGCCCACATTCCACCTCTTGCCATACCTTTCCACTGCTATTCTATAGCTTGCGAGAAAGCCTGTATTTAGGGGAGGCCACAGGAACACACAGAATTAGCCCTACTCAGTACAGTCTCCTAAATAAATCACAACCCACCAGCGAAAGAGGGTGGGCATCTGATAATCAGAGGTAACAGAGCCCTTTAAGAGGATTCTTTCTGTTATACTATTTGCACTCAATGCACTTTAATCCTTAGTGCTTTGTGTAAAATTTTGCCTTTTCCAAATGTGAGAGTAATTGCTCATACATTTTATTCTGGATTGCCCTGCACTTTTTTGTTACCAGAACAAAACACTGCAAAAAGAAGTAATTAATCTGGTCTTGATCGATCTTGTGCAGGATGCAAAAATGGCAATACAATCTGCTGTTTGCAGTCATCTTGCAAAGGTGTGCACCTGGATTATCTTCTGCCTTACAGCGGGGTACATTCTTAAAATGTGACAGCTGCAGGCATATATATTGCTCAGAATAAGGGCACCACAGACATCCTATTACAGTCTGCAATTTTCTGTAGAGTACAGAAGTGTCAATTTTCCCATTTTTCAGACAGAGAATGCTGAATCCCACAGGCAGCTCCACACATGAAGCCTGGAAGCTGCCCTGCCTGCTCACCGGCTCTGCCTGTGCCCACATCTCCACATAGGCTGTGACAGCCTGGGAGCTGGGGCTGACCAGTCCCATCTCTACTAAGGTTGCCCACTGCATTCGGTAAAACTAAGGGAAGCAAGATTGGGCTTATGGACAGGACCTGGCACTGACCACTGCCTCAGGTAGAGAAAATGAGTAAGCAGCTTCTTGAATGAGCAGCTAAAAATAAGTAGAGAAAAAAGTTATTGGTATTTGATATTTCAGCCTGGGAGAGACAGAAAAATCCCGTTCCCCCTGCTGAAACATACTTGAGCTTTCTTAAACAATAGATGGTAAATTCTGAATAGGAGAATTGCACCCAATGAAACCAACTCACAGTAATTCTGTATGGACCTTCCTGCTGTCCAGTTCAAGTGAACTGATCACTGAGGTAAAAATGTTATTTTTATATACAGACCCACACAAGCACCCTCCACAAATTACGTAAACCAGTTCCTCCGAAAGCTTTATATTCTGAGTACATAAAAATAACTATTAGCAGACAATGAATAAATAATACGTGTTAATGGGATAACGCCACAGAAAGGCAACAAAATTAAATGGTACCTAATTAAACTGTGGGAAACACAATTTATCCTCCTGCAACCACCAACCCTGCTGGCAAGGACTGGTCTGGACAGGAGCTCAGACTAATGTAGGTTCGCCTTATCTGTCCCACAAACCACCTGCTCAGTGACTGCAGGTGCTATTAGCTGCTGCCTCTCATCTCAGATGTGGAGGCTTCCTAACACCGTCCTCACTTGCTCAGGTCCCTTCCCATTAAGAAACCCTTGAGCCAACTAGGAGAAGAGGGAGCAGGTGCTGACTGCTGGCAGAAGTACTGCTACAAATGAGATTGGCTTTAATAGAAAGGTTTTCTTCTGTCAGGCTGTCAGAAAACCACTCTCTGGAGATGCTGGAGGAGGCACGTTTGTGTGGTGAACTCATTACCCCTGGAGGCTGAGGAAAGGTTCCTGAGGGTAATGAGTTGCAATGCCTGATATGAAGTAGAAGCGCATACATATTTGGCATTTACCTGGTATTCATGTGTTTGATTTTGAAATGAAGTGAAAAAATGCCCAAATATCAAATATGCTTGACAGCCAACACCATGTAATGTAGGTCATTTCAAATACTGCCTGTGCCTTTGTAGCACCTGCTCTTCCCACCCAGGCGTGTTATCCCTCGCATACTCCTTCTTGACTCTGATTCCCTTCTTTAAGACAAGCACACATATCCAAAAGCCTAGATCAGCAGGGTGCTTTACATTTTGATACAGCCATCCTTCAGCACCAGACAAGCAACACAGAAATAAGAGGACATTCTTCCTGATTGTGGAATCCTCAACAAACACCACATTATTTTACTTAGCTATGGTCTGAATATCCTGCTTTACTTTCCAAGTTGACAAGGCATAAGGGAACAAATTGAAACTTGTATTTATTCTGGATCATTTTTGCTGACACAGTGAAACCTACATCTGTCTGTGACTTGCCCACTTCTGCCATTATGTTCCTGAAAAGCAGAACAGCTTTAAAAGACTGAAGCCTCAGAGAAAGCCAGCACAGGTTTCCCCTAAACCAGGGTCAAACACTGCACTGAACAAATCTGAGTAAAGTGGTTTGGGTAAACCCAAATCAGGTACCTAGAGCAATGCAGGTTTCCCATAAATGCCAAGACAAAGCCTTTTACTTTGATTTGACTGATCCTTTTGAGTTGACTGAGACTAGACAGGAACCAAAGTGTGGTTCCCACATGCAAATGCTGACCCAACATCTGCGAAGTTTGTGGCATGGATAGCATTCATCTTGGTTAGACTATTTCAAACAGAGGAAATTACACATGCAAACAGGGATATGATCCTCCTTATATTCATCCATGTTGTACTGATTTCAGGTATGTTTGGGTCCAAGTTTTCTGTGATGACCAGAATGGGGCAAACAGAATTTGCTACATATTTGGCATATCTTCATATCATAATCTTACAAGCAAATTCTGTTATTTAAGAATGCAGTAGATATTTAAAACACATGCTGAATATCCTATAAGATAGCACAATCAAATGTATGGTAAGGTGCAGAGTATTCATCAAGGACTGGAAGACAAAATGCCAGAATACCATCCATATGCCAGTGGGAAGAACACATCAAATGAATGGGTAAATGTGACCAAGTCATTAGTATCATTTTATCAGTTCACAAATAACACTGCCAAATCAAAGCAGCTATCTCTTATTTGTCCAACAGTCACATATTATTTTCCTTCATTACTCAACCTGCTTTAGTTTGATCCTATATAAGCTTAAAACTGTTGAAAAAAATTACAGCCTGTATGGAAAATTGCTGTGGGATTGCAAAAGACATAGAGCGTGCCAAAGAAAATGAACTCTCAAAACTGTTTTCCTTGTTTATGTGCTCTCTCCAGGCCCTCTTGTTTATGTAAGGGCTCAATATATGATCAAGTTACCTTGCGTCAGCCAGGCTGTGGTAATTGTCTCTGTGTGCACTTTTGGCCCATAGCGAATGCAAGAAAATTAAACTTAGTTTAAGTCCCTTTCACTGCAGGAAAACCCAACACAACTTACCTTACATTCGCTGGGGGGTGGGAGCATGCACCTAAGAGCTCCGGGACAGCTTGTCTTTTTTTCTGCAAGTATATTGTACAGGCACACAAATGAAGGACTTACCTGCCATGCCTCAACCTTCTTAATGTCCGCACAGGATCCGTTCGTGAAGAGTCCTTTCCCAGGGGTACAGGTATATATATCCTGCAAGGCATGGGCAATAGAATATACTGCCAAATACACATTATAGGATATCCGCAAGTGCGTGTAGTCCATGTATGGTGTCTCCACACTGGTGATGTTCTCATCCCCTGTGCATGGAAGTCGGAAGGCAGATGTTCCATTTCCAACTCCCAGTCCCTCTTCATGGCCCTTGTGGAAGGAAGTTGAAGCTGGAGAATTTTTGGACCCATCGGGGAGGTAGCAGTTAAACGTCTCCTCCCAAAACTCCTTGGCAAAGCCATTGTTAGTGGACTTCTTGGGATGCACCTTCTGCAGGAACTCACGAAATCCTGGGATCTGTCCTGCCTTCAGTGCAAACCCAATGGTGCTGCCGATGACGCGGAAGAACTCTGGCATGGCTATCAGGGAAGAGCTGGCCCAGGCCTCGCTTGCCAGCCAGATCTTGCCAGTGATGTTTCGCCTGACGATCTCTTTGATGAGGGGCTCCAGGTCTGGGCCACTGGAGAAAACAACGATCACCCTTGCTGTGGAGTTCTGTATGACCTCCACCACCTGCTGGATCTCCTCTTCGTCTGAGTACTGGGAGATGAGCTCGCTAAAATCAATGCAGATGTCTCGCTCCTCTGCCTCCTCCCGAAACTTTTCAATCCCTGGCCGGCCATAGTCATCATCAGCTGCAATTGTTCCCACCCAGTTCCAGCGAAAGTACTCGATGATGTCTGCCATCGCCGTGGCCTGATGCTCGTCATTGGGGATTGTGCGGAGGAAGGACTTGAATTGGTTCTTATTGCTCAAGAGACGACTGGATGAGGCATAGCTGACCTATGAAAGCACAGTGAACAAGCAAAACACACCATGAAGTGAACTGCCTGGGACTATATTGCCTACATTTGTCTGGCAACACTGTCAACCTGTGTTAACCTCGGATGGGATGAAGAGAGAGCTGAGCACCACACTGTCTGCCACATACTCCTAGCCTGTGGTTATGCATGATCCTCTCCTAGAGTTTGTATATTCTTGTAGCTGTGACTGTCTTACAGAGGGACACATACAGGAACAGCTGCTTGGACCAGAGAGACTGGAGCAAGTTCATGTCCACCTGTAAGGTCAAGGATCACGAGGAGAAAGACACTGCCACTAGCTTGGTGGAATGGCAAAAAGGTGAGCCTACATGCACTTCACTGCACTTTCTGCCAAATTCAGAAATGAGAATAATGTATCTTTTAGATAAACGAGGGCAATGCACATAATTCAGTTAAAATGCGAGATTTCTCTGTCCTGAACCATACATGAGACTGCAGGCTGGTATTGTCATCCAGACCTACTCTGGAGAACACTATCTGTCTCTCTCTGCCTCTCACTTAAGTTCCCATCCTTAAACACGCTCCATCAGGCACGATATGCGTGTTATATACAGTGCCTGCCAGTTGAAAAATGTGATGTATTTTAGTTGCCTTGACCCTCTGGAGTGTTAAGGTAATGCCGGTCAATGCTGCCTTAGCAGTATTTCCTCATTGCTGTCCAGAATCAGCAAAGAAGCCAGTAGGCATTCCACACTCCATGAGCCACTGTGTTTTATAGTTAAAATGGGATTTTATTTCCTTTTCTAAAACTATGAAGAATTTTTTTTTCCTAATCAGAACAAGTGCCATCTGCTGTTAAGATACAATTTGGATTTTCTACAAGTAGGAAGAAAACCATAAAACCCAGAAGAGAATAGTTTAAAGATCTGGAGAACTTTTAAACTTGCTTATCTCTGCATTTTGAACTCTTTAGGACTGACTCTCAGTTTGAAAAAATCTTCTATAAACAGTTCATTTTGTACAAAGTGGAGATTTACAGAAAACCTTATTTTCTCCTCAAACTCTGGCATTTAATATTCCTGCAAGTAGAAAGAAAAGGAGGTCTCCTAGTGCAGTTTCAAGGGCCATAGGAGCAAATCCTCCTTTCACACAGCTATACTCTCCCCTTGACAGGCTCCTGCCAAGTGCTACTCTCATCTCCTACATCCTATTGCTAGGAGGTACAGGCAAGGTACCCCACTCCTGCAAGGTGCTGTAATCCTGCATGTGCTCTAAGGGAACGCTGAGGTGAGATATTGAGAAACAGAACCAGAGTCATAACATTTTCAGTTTCTATGTCAACGGAATGAGTAATGAGCCTTAGATTAATTGTAAAATATACCTCTAACTTGTACTGAAATGCAGGGTCTATTAAGCATGGATTTGCTAATGGCCCTGCTATAAATGGCAGTGATAATGCGTATTGTAATGCTGCCCAACAACTCCTGGTTTAAAAGCCTGCTTTCAGTTGTCATATTTCAGCCACCTGGTTGAGATTTTGTTCTAGAACTGAACCTCCTGACATCTACCCATTTCAGCAACCCCTAGATAAGACTACTGCCGCGTAGCACAAACACCATTCCTTGTTCAAAGGGAAAGCCTGAGAACTGCAAACATCTGTGGTGTTCAGTCCAACCCATCAACCCTTCTCAGCTGCCCTTCTCACCTGGTAATGTGATGTGTAAATTAACAGTATGCCTTAAAATGTCACCACGGTGTTTATTACACATCACCTTCCAATGCTACTCTGGGCAATACCTGGGTAGCATGTACTGGTCTTAGCTTAAACCATCCTTGCCTTTCTCAGAGACCAAATGCCCATTTTTTTCAGACTTCTGTGAGAAAGTCTGACTGATAAACTTAAATAGAGAAGACACTATTACTGTGCAGCAGGCAGACAAGAATCCTTCCTTCATTTGTGGTGCAGATGGGAATTGGAGCCTTGGCTGAAATAAAGACATATTCTCTCAGGACAGACTGAGAGTGTAGCGTGACACAATCTTGTTACAAGCGCTCCTCTGAGCTCTGGCACCTGTATTCATTTTAGAAGAGGAATTGGAAAGATTAAGCCATATACAAGGCAACGCATAAACAAGTAAGGCCAAGCACTTTTCCAAAAGTTGTCTTTAGTGTGTGAATCTAAAACCAAGAACTACAAAATTAAGCTATACTATGCCAGCCTCATGGTCTGCTTAGGCTCTTGGCAAAGCAACAAACAAAAGAATGGTTCCATGGATGCTGGCACTGCCCCCAGTAGAGCCAGCAGACAGCAAGAAGGATGCTGCAACACAGGAGCTGGCACAACTACACCACCATACCCATGACCCCAGCACAAGGGGGAATATCCACACACTCTCACAAACCCTGTTTTGGAGGCCGTAGGGCAAAAAAAAAGGCAGGTCAGCCCACAAGAAACCTGCAGAGCACCTGATCAGCAGAAGCAACAACTTTACAGATCACCTGCTTGAATGATCAGAGGTGCTGAGAGACCTAAAGGTAGCTGGCAAGGATTGAGCTCTGCCTTAAGTGGGCTCTGTGGGAGTCAGGCATGAACAGACAGTGACCGCAGTGAGGTAACATCACACCTAACCTGTCAAGGCTGCCAACTGCCCATGACCGACCTAAATTACTTGCATTCACAGACTGAACCACTCCAGAGGACTCTAGTCCTCCTAGACTAAGTTGCTGTTGGCTGAATATAGTAGCTTGGTAACCTTTGTGTTTGGCAATTGCAAATTACTAGCAAGACATATTTCTACTATCAGAAAACCTCCATATTTTGTATTGTTTCTCTCCTTGAAGTTCTACTGGAAATGGCAAAGATTAAACAAACCATGGAGACTGCACTCCCCTTGAGACCTCTGGTGTGCAGTTAGGACACATGGGCAGAGAGTGGGATGGAGAAGCTGATACAGCCACTGCACATACTTGTACCAGCCCAAATACATTTCTGGCAAATGTTAACCTGAAGACTTGTATCTCTGACTAAAAAAAAAATAAATGTGTGGTTTGATTTGACATAATAAGTTTGGAGGGAAGTAGATTGCTTGCTTTCAACTGTTGTCCCACTTTAAAAGCCAGTGCTTCTCTTTGTTGTATTGCCCCTCAGTTCTCCAAGGATGTCTTTGTACAGCTAGGGCCACTGCATTTCTAAACCCTCCTTTGTTTGGAATGGAGATGGAGCACGTAAGGCAGCAGTGCAGTCCCATGCCCTGGTTCTATAATGTACTTAAAGATCTCCTCCAAACAGCAACAACCCCCAGCTGTACCTAAATAGAGAAGCGAAAGCATACCTGAGGTATGTAAAAGAGTCCCAGCAGATTGGCCACAGCGGTAGAGATGCCAGAGCCGGTTGCCCCCACAACTGCAATGGTGGAAGGGATATGTTCTGAGCAGTTGCAGAATTCGTCCAGGTTCAAGGAGTCTATCTTGTTCTGGGCCACAAAACTCAGCGTGGCCTCCAAAGCTTTAGAGACTGTATTGCAAGTGTCAAATATCCTGTATCCTAGGGTCATGTTAGGAAGGAGAGTTGGGCTACTGTTTATTTCTTCTATGGCAAAGATCATAGCCTGGAGCCAGCGGAAGCCTCGGAAATTATACCTGAGGGAGCAAAAATAAAAATAAAATACAGTGAGAAGAAGGGAAACAGAGGAGAGGAGACCAGGACTGAGACAAAGACAGAATGAAGAATTCCAGATACAAAAGGCAAAAGCAGCTTCTGCAGTTTCTTGCATCCTACTAATTTTGTAAAGCTTTGCTTTTGTGTTCACTTGTTATAGAAGAAATGTGTACATACTAGAAGGTTTTGTTCTGGTTTTCAGCTCTTCAGTTTGCAAGCTCACTTCAGAAGTCATGTGATTCCCAAGCAAATGCTCTGACACAAAGCTACACCTAGGTTTCCTTCCAGGCATCTCTGACTCGTTTCTGAATGCAGATGGCAGTGTCTGCAAAGCCTGTGCTGAACACGATGCTGCCAGGGATTTGGGCTTGAGGATACTCAGTGTCTCAGCTCCTTGAGGCTTTAGGCAGCCAGAGTGAGCTGAGACACAGCACTAATGTGCCTCTCACTGAAAAGGTGCCTGGTAGCTCTGCTGAGGGAAATCTAGCCTCACATCACAAACTTCACACTGTGAGAGAGGGCACAGTCAACTTGCTTACACCAGAGACAATGTAATCCTAGCTTCCTAACTTGTTAATTAGATATTTCAGTGTTTTCATTAAAGGAATAACTTTTCTCATTATTATTGTGCTCTCATAGATCTGCTTTAGACATGAGCTCAGAAGATGCCATCAGAGCTGCCCTGTGAAATTGAAACAGTGTTTTTTGAAGCCGCCTCTGTTTTCTAAAATGAAGCAGCTGAGTATTCTGTCTCTCTCTCAGCTGTGCATGGAGCTGACCCAGAGTTGGGGAGTGGTGGCAAGAGTGTGCTGCAGGACCTGGAAGTCCCTGGGTAGGCACTGGATGGCTTGGCAATCAAAGAAGCTGATGCAGGATGAGCGACAACTTATCCAAAAAAAGAGAGAAGCTTTTTTGTGGAAAGTAGCAGGAAGAAAGTTGCTTTGATATGTGTTAGTCTCAAGTTTTACCTACTGTGTTTTCTCCTGTAAAGCTGCAAAAGCAACCAGTTGTTGTGTCCCTGTTGTATCCCTGAGAAGCTGCCATGTTTTAGGGTAATGCAGCTGAATGGCAGAATCTTTCATGAACTGAAACTTGCCTTTCCCTGTAATGCACTGTGTATGTCAGGATAGCAGCTGGTTTGCAGGTTTGTGTTGAGCTGCAGCTGGAAATGGCAAAGTGTCAAAGCTGTTATGCTTGAGATCCATTGGAAAAACTGATGGGCCTCAGAACTGGAAGAGCCTGGGAAAATAGCCTGCCCAAGAACAGATTCTATATAAAATTGTAAATTTTAGGTTTCACATGAGTGCCACTTTGAAATACTTGGAGAGATGTTTCCATTACAAAGGTGAAGATTTCTAAAGATAAGCTTCATGAAATCGTGAGTTTCCAATCTCTGAGATAGACGAACATTTTTTAATTGCTGGATTAAATGTGTTACTTCCAAAGTTGATGTCAACTATGTCTGACTTCTTTAAAGTTGACGCAACATAGCCACATTACTTCCATTCTAGGAGTTTCATCTGATTTATCTGGGATCAGAAGTTCTAAAGATATCACATCTAAGGTTTACCTTTAAGCCTTAAAAACTTCATTTATTCAACTTAATTTCACCTGCTCCAGATCTCTTTGGCCAACTTCCAAATGAGGTTCTTCTCTGAGGTAATGCAAATCTCTCCTGGTATCAGTATTTTGACTTGAGAAAAGGAGGCTGATGGGAAACCTTATTGCCCTGTACTACTATCTGAAAGGAGGTTGTAGTGAGGTGGGAGTCGGTCTCTTCTCCCTAGTGACAGGTGATAGGACAAGAGGAAACAGTCTAAAGTTGTGCCAGGGGAGGTCCAGGTTGGACATCAGAAGAAGCTGTTTCGATGAGAGAGTGATTAAACACTGGAATAGGCTTTCCAGGGAGGTGGCTGAATCCCTGGAGGTGTTCAAAAGATATATTGACATAGTACTAAGGGACATGGCTTAGCTGAAGATTTGGTAGAGTTAGGTTATGGTTGGACTTGGTGATCTTAAAGGTCTTTTCCAACCAAACAATTCTATGGTTCTGAGGTTGTGCATCAAAGACCAGACAGGATGGCTTCATTACAAATCTCTTCAAGTCAAAAAGCTTGAAGCCAATGAAAATGCCTAGTTATAATTTATGACCAAAGGTACAGCTAGCTATTTTAAGACCACCCTTAGGAAAATGGATGCCCTTTAGAACATGTGAGTGTGGGTTACCATTAGAAGTAATTTGGTAATTTAGATTATTTTTTGCTCTAGTTCCAACCATTAAGGAGTGAGATGCAATGGATGAACTCTGAAATAACAGGACAAATCTCAGAGTGAATGAGGTGGCGAGTGTTGTGTAGAGAAAAAAGATGTGCCGGGCACACCACACTGCCTCATGTGCTCAGTAACGCTTGCTGGGATGAATGGCATCAAGGAGCGGTTTTGTGACACTTCATTTTAAAAACCTAGATGTGTTTACAGATATTTTTAATTAAAATGAAAATAGGATTTGAAGCAAGGAACCATAGTCAGGCTCCTTATGTACAAGAGAAGAATAATTTCCTATATTTAAGGGGAAGACTGCTGAAAAACTGGGAAGTTCAAAGAGACCCCTATAGCACTGTGAAAAACTTCACACATTCAAGTGTGCATAAAAGTAAATTTAAGCCTGCTCACATGAAATTATGCAGGTGGAGTATGATGCAACTATTTTGCCTGCTTGACAGCAATTTGGCTTATTTATTTTTAATTGCAGCGAGGTGGTATCGTCAAAACCAGTGAGAACTGGACTGTGTTCCCCTTGACTTCAGAAAATATGTTTGCCATTTCATTTCGCAGAAGCAGACTAAGGTCCATGATGCACAATTGCTTTTATATTTCTTTCTGACATATGTTCTTGATGGATGTTTATTTACAGCATAAGGCCTGTACTTCAGGTGCTTCTGTTTGGATTGGTTTTATTTTGGAGGGGAAAGGAGGGCAGGGGATGTTTTCTGGGAGCTAGACTACAAAATGTCTTTGAAATGCTTTTGATAATTTACCTCAAACTAGCCTGGGCAGGGGACCTGCAGTTCTCTTCAGCTGCACCTCTGCTGATAGCAGCTTCAGCAGATCAGGAGAAGAGGATCAGATGGGATGCAGAAACACACACCTCAAAGGCTTTGAACCTGGCAGCAGATTACACCGATCCAGCTGGCCTTCTGTGCAATGCTGCTGCTGTGACTAATATGACTAGTTACTGAACTGCTCTGTCAACCATGCAGAAATTCAACCGGTAATTTCCATGAAGAAACTGCAAAGGATTTGCTAACAGAAGCAAACTTTCTATTAGATTTCCAGAAGCTTTAACGAGCCATTGACATTTTCTTGGTGGAAAAGAAGCAGCCTCCAGAACTTATTTCCTGCCATATTACTTTACAGGTATGTTGGCATAGTCCTGTATTTTAACATTTCTGAGATGTAGTGCTATGAAAAGTGGCCATTAAGGTCTAAATGGGAGTTTAATGTAAACAATTCGGTGCCCAAAGGTGTAGATGGGGATTTTTACTTACACTCAGTTCTTTAAATGTTTCCCCTCGTGTAACTGTTCTTCCACCTGTCAGAGCATGCACAACCCACTGATCTCTCTATTTCCAGGCAGGAGCACAAACA